AGGCCCAGTTTTCCCCTACAGCCTTTTACCACAGCTGGAATAGAACAGCTCTGACAGTGCAGCTGTCTCCCATTAAGCGAGCGGTGAAATTCGTAAGGACGTACATCAGAGCTGCTCTTCTTGAGTCTTTTCTGTTTTGGAAAAATAGTGTTTTCATTAAAAAACGTTTAATATGTGATGGGCTTATTTTGTTAATTTTGAGTCTTTAACTATATTTGTATGCCTCTTTTAGTTTCTGATTCAGTACCCGCGTATCGATAAGTTGCGTGAACAACGCTTTTCCGAATTCCCACCATCTGGGACACTGGAAGGAATCTGTGAGCCACAAGGGTGTGAGCTGCCGCGGGTGTCTGTTCCCTGGCACCCCCTCTGCTTGAGGCTCCTGTGTCTAGAGTTTGTGCCAGTAAAAGACAGAGTTGAGTCCTGGGCAGATGCATCGGGGGTTTTCTCAGCATTTTTCCCCTGGTGGAGTGGGGGGCGCTCTTCCCTCCCAAACAGTGGGACCACCCAGTCATGTTCTTGGCCTGCTTCCCACACATCCCTCAGGGCTTAGCACCCCTCCCACTCTTAGCTTCTCCCCCTTAGCGGTTTCACGGCCCCCATGGAAAAAAGGAGTGCTTGCATCTGGCAAAAGAGGCAAGGCCCCGTGACTCACCTCCCCCCTGCCCGGTGCCAATGGACTGTGTTCCCCACGATCACTGTGGCAACCCTGGCCTCAAGCTGACTGTTTGGAAAGGGTGGATTTAGTGGGTAAGGTGGGCACACACTGGGAGCTCAGAGGTGGGCCTGATCCCAGAGGATTGAGCCCTAAGAGGGAGAGAGCCAAGGGTGTATGCACCCCATCTCTGTCTCTGTGAGGATGCAGCAAGACACACCCCGCTGGATGACGGGAGTGCAGCTCAGTGGCAGAGTGCCTGACGAGACTGTGCAAGACCCTGTTTGGTCCTCCTCAACACCCCAAGGAGGAAAATGGGCAGGAATAATAGGAGAAGGTGGTGGGGTGTGGAGGAGGAGGAGGAAGAGGAGGTTGAGGAAGAGGATGAGGAAGAGGAAATTATGATGAAGAGAAGGAAGAGGAGAAAGAAGAAAAGGAGGAAGAGGAGAAGGAAGAGGGAGAGGAGGAGGAGGAGGAGAAAGAGGAGGAAATGATGAAGAGAAGGAAGAGGAGAAAGAGGAGGAAAAGGAGGAAGAGGAGGAGGAGAAAGATGAACCAACTATGAGCCAGGGAAGGTGTCTCACCAGAAACCAGCCCCACCACACCTCGATCTTGAGTTTTTGACTCTATAACTTTGAGAAGACAGTTAGACATGATGGCACACATCTGTGAGGTCCAGCACTGAAGAATCTAAGGCAGGTGGATCATGAACTGCAGGGCAGCCCGGCATACATTGCCATGAAGACACAGAGCTCTGTCTGAAGCATTTCATTTCTGCTAACATAGGCACTTACCCAATGTCTTTCGGGGTCCCCATGGCTGGTGCCTTTTATAAACTTTTATAATCCGTTTTCTTGAGGTGTGTATACATACTTGGCACACACATATGACATACACAGAAAGGGTTTTGTTTGGGATGGGGGACAGGAGATGGTAATTTAGAAGTGAGATAGTCAACTACCTGATGTACTTGAATGAAAATGTCATCACTAAACCCATTTTTCAAGCACTGCACACACACACACACACACTAATAAAAGGGAAGAGTATGTGTTTTGATTGTGCACGTTAATGACTTTACACAAATGCTTGCCAGTGTGAGCACAGCACCCTCAAGCCATGGAATCTGTCTCTCGGGTGAGATTCTGCACCAGAGGTCACCCCATACATGCCCAGCAACACTCACCAGCTCCTAACCCGTGAGACTGCCCTTGCCTGTTCAAGATGCTACCAGAACTGGACCCCTACACATCTATTCCCTGTCTGGCTTCCCTCTGTGTTGCTGCACGTGAGAAGCCTGTGTCCACTGAGCAGGTTCCTGTTGCTCACACACAGGACTTATGGTCAGATCCACTGCTTGAAGATTATGGATGCAGATGCTCTTGCATCAACAGTCAGCAACTGTTTCCATTGTCTTAAGGAAGCATGGGGAAGTAGAGGGGGGTGGGTTAGCAGGTAGGAGGAAACATAACCTTATAAAGTCGCCAGTCCTCCAAGCCCCTGCATCACTTGAACTCCCATCGCCGATGTATGTTCCTGTTGCTCCATGACGCCATTGGTACTTGGCTTTATGGGTCTTTGATTTTGAATACTTGAGTATGGGATGGTGTCTCACTTTGGTTCATACAACCAGGAGGGACTGGGGCTGGGGCTTGCTGGGCACACGATTCCAGATGTTGGGGTCTCCTATTTATGGGTGTGGAGGTAGGAGGGGTGCCTCCAATCTCAATTCTCAGAAAGACCTGATGCCTGAGGCTCCTCAGTGATGGAGGCTGAGGTGATGTGGCAGTCTACTGTCAGGAAAGACAGACTGGGACCACTGGTGTGCATGATGGCCATGTCTACCACCCACATCCACAGGTGTCTAACCACAGATGCCAGAAACCTATGATGCCACCAGGAGTCAGGTATGTCCTTCCCATAAAATCCTGGTGTCCCTTCTAGTCTGGTGATTTTTTTCTCAGGACACGTCTTGTTGGCTGCTCTTTTATGACAACCCAGTAACTGCTCAGAGCCGCAGTGGCACAAAGAAAGAAAACCACCTTACACTCAAAACTGAGCTCACTGGCAATAGATTAAAAACTTTCCTAAAAGTCTCTAAACACTTATCTCTTGTGCCTGGTTTTCATTAAGCTGACCGAGTCTGTGGGTGCTGGTGGGTCTGCGGTATGCACTGCGTGTCTTGCATTTCGTGTCTGCTTCTGCCTGGGAACGGCTTCCTGTCAGCGTTAGTCAGCCCTAAGCCTGAAAAAGAAAATCCTTTTCCGTCAACTTTTAACGGACTTTGAGGAGGCTAAAATGGAGACTTCCTTTAAGCAGTTGAGAACCTTCACAGCCCACCTTGGCTAGAGAGCAAGGCTGAGAAGCCAGCGGGGGAGTCACAGCTGGGGCTGTTACCATAGTTCCCTAATAATGCTCCCTTGCCCCTTGTAACAGCCCAGAGAGTGCCTGCTGGCGGGACTCCTAACCTGCTGTTTATCATTTGGTGTTGCCTATGGCCCCTTCTGAATGTTGCCATTTATGGTTAGAATTCATCCCGGTTTGGCCACACAGATGGGAACACTTAAGCGATCAGAGCAGAGCGTTACGGGTTCTCTCAAACGCAGCCAAAGTCAGAGGGGGCTGAGGGAAGTGGATGAGAGGCGCTGAGCTGCGGCTGACCAGAATAGACAGATCCCCCACGGGTACTCGGGTGGGGTCCACGCTCGGCTTCTGCTGGACCCTTGCCAGGACCATATAAACAATTTGGGTCGTGCAGAGAACATGCTGGGGCTCTTGGGGAATCCACACTGATACATCCACTTACTGCTTAGCTCGGCTTGTTGTGACGAGGTCCCGAGAGGCTTAGTCTTTTTGGGGCAGGACCCACCTGCCCATTGGAAGGGGTGGTAGGTAGTAAGCACGGAAGGCAAAGCTGGTCAGCGCTTTAACCAAATCAACTCTGCCCAAGAGTACGTTATGCGAGTCCCAGATGGGCCTGCCAACCGGAGGCCAGTGAGCAGGTTACAGCCTGGTCCCTTATGGATGCAGCTCAACACCACCCCCCATACACACACACCCCATGGCGCACATTCCACTAGAGGCACTCTGAACTCCATTGTGTCTGGAAGTCTGCCCTCAAGGACCTAGTCTCTAAGGCTGCTCAGCACCCTCAGGGGCTGGCATTGTCTTGAGCTTGTTCTCCAAGTCACACCCAACTTATCCCCTAGCCAGAAGCACAGGAGCTTGACTTCTATGACTTGGGGAGACAAAAAGAGGATTCCAAATAAAGAGGGGAAATCTCCAGCAGAAAATTACCCTACTTCACTCTCAGCTAGAGTGTCGCCAAATCACAAAACACTGTGTCCTTTAAAGATGGCTTAAAGAGGAACACATTCTTCCTGGTCTCCTGGAATTGGATGTCGATACCAGTCTCTAGGAGATCCAGGACTTAGTCTCACCACCTGCCACACAGTGGGGAACCTAGTTAACACCGTTGGCTCCCTTCACAACTCCCTTTAAGAAATATACTTCTGTGCCTCTGGAAGGCCAGACTTCAAGTGTTCCTGCTGGAGCCAGGAACAGGCTAGAGCCACCAGCACAGCCTGGCAGGTGTCCGGTGCCCAGGAGACACTGCTCAAAGGCATGCCAGGCTCATCTCTGCTGCGGGCTGGTTTTTGAGGTTCTCTGACACATGAGGGACAGGCACGTTGTGTCCACAGATGGCCATAAGGGCAAGTCGTCAGCATTAAAGGAAATTTTTCAGAAAGTTAAAAAAAAACAGTGTTTTTGGTGCAAACTGGATGGACACATGGCAGAGTCTGATCCCCCAAGTGGGGGCACATCCCAGAGTAATCTATACCACAGCTATGCAGGAAGGACAAATCCCTCGCCTCTCTGTCTCATTGTTGCAGTGTTTAGTGATGGAAAGTTGCAAGCAAGGAACAGGATAGCATGCCCACCTGGGCATCCACTCTCATGTCTGCATGGACAGACAGCTGGGTTTTGCTCTTGGTTTTGTTCAGTGTCCTATAGGCAACCATCTCACGATAACCAAAATTCCGTCACCCATGTCCCTTGCTTAGCAGAGTCTTATGCCCAATACTCTCTCCTACTAATAGAACCTTGCATATCTCTGCTTAGAGGGAGCACTTTACCTGGGCTCAACTGGAAAGTCAAACCCCCCCACCTCTGGGAGAGCCATTGACTTTACCAGCTTGGTGAAGGCAATCTGTGAGCAGCCAGAGTAACTCACCTAACCCCTAAAGATTAAAGGGATCACATGCAAAAACTACTAAAAAGCACAATGCAATACAGAGAAACCCTGTCTGGAAAAACCACAAAAAAGCACAATGCATTTTAGGAATTTCAAATGATCAGAGGAAAATGTTTAGTTTTCCTAGTGGCAAGCCACCAGCTCAGAAGCAGGCATTTTGGATCTGGCTCTAGACTCACCCCTATGCATTCCCAGCCTTAGAAGAGCTGCTCACCCCACCCACAGCTCCCTTCTTCCCAGAGCTCCACTTGCAGAAGCAACCTTAGCCTAGCTGGGAGCAATCCAGGGAGCTCTGGGGAGCTGAGGGGTCCGCCTTTCCCTTCAACCCCTCCATCCACACCCAAAACCATAGTTGCCAAATTCAGCATTGCCCGCACCAGCTTGCTTCACTGAGCCTCGATTCTCGAGAGGAGGTGGCGGTGGTGACAGAGGAGTGTCATGGGAATCCACTGTGCCAAAGCTCACAGTGGAAAGTAGGTCACAGGGTGACCACAGTGAGTCACGCTGGACAGCCTGGGTCCTGCGGGAACTTTCTGTGGAAAAGTCCGTCTTCTGACTCAGAGAGTGGGAAGGAATGTGGGAAGCTGGTGCAACCCAATCCATTTGAATGTTCATCAAGCTTGTATGAATCACTTCCAGACGTTGTGCAGCATCCCAGGGTTGAGAAGAAACCTTAGAGGAAGCCTACTCCAGGTCCTGAGTCGGGGATGGTAAGGATGGCAGAAGGTGCTTTTCAGACAGAACATAGGAGCTTGAGTGGAGCTGGGAAGACCCGCTGACAGGGAATGTTCAGCCCAGGCTGCACCACCGCCTCTCAGGTCCGTGTTAGCCGAGCGTCTGTCTCTCCAGCTCTAGGGTCCGTGTTAGCCGAGCGTCTCATGCCATGCTCAAGTGTACCTTCTCACGTCCGCACTGTAAACATCAATACTAGAGAGACAGTGGGTGAGAGTACTCACTGGAGTGGACCCAGGTTCAATCCCCAGCACCCACACGGTGGCTCACCACTGCCTGTCGCTTCAGTTCCGAGGATATCAGAACCCTCTCTTGGCCTCTGCAGGCACCAGGCACATACATGCGTTCAAGCAAAACACCTACACACATGAAGGAAATCTTTAAAATGCTTTGAATGTGGACCTGAGTTTGATCCCCAGGACCTACATGGTAGGAGAGGACCCACTCCTGCATGCTGTCCTCTGACTTCCACATATGTGTTAGCATGCAATCACCCCACCCACACATACAAAAAATAAATGTTACAATACTTGTTTAATGAGAACAAGGATACAGTGCCAGTGTTTGAGTGCAGGTCTTCAGATTGTAGGAGTTAGTTGAGGATGACCGGCATTTTCTTCCTTCGAAGACAGTGAAACAGAAGGGGAATGAAATCTGCGGACAAGCCATACGAAGTAATTCTTGTGCTAGGTGTGGTAGTATACAGCTTTAATCCTAGCACTAGAGCTGCAGAATTGGGCTGATCCCTATGAGTTCAGAGCCAGCCTGGGCTACACGAGACCCCTATCTCAAAAATACCAAAAGATGAGAGGAAATGAATAGCAAGCTATACTCTGACCCTGCGTGGAGATACAGTCTTGGAAATGTGTCATTAGAGGGGTTTGTTCAGCAAGCTTCCACCTGTATGCTCTGCTGGTGACTGAGATGCCATTGGGGGCACGTGATACGTTTGAGTTACTTCTAGTTGTTGATCAGCTTTGTTTCTACTATGATTTGGCTAAATGTCCCCAAAGGCGCTTTAATGTGTTAACGGTCTGGTCCCCTGGGTGGCCTCGTTTACTCTCCTTTGTCTGGAGTTCCCTGCTCACTAACTTTAGAGTGCCTTCCACTGTCCCTCCCAGATCCTGTCCCTCAGCCATCCTGACCTAGTGTGAGCCACAACCTCTGGTCCAGGCTGTTGTCCTGGGCCTCAGGTCCACAGGATCCCTCGTCAATACGGGATTGTGAACACAAAGGCACACTGCTAGAACTCTGGGTCCCAAGAATTCACAGTGAGGATGAAGGAGTCACACCAGAGAGGAATCAGAGGGGATGGGGGAATCAAAGGGATGGAGGATCCAGGGAGGATGACTAATTCACGGCAGGATGAAAGATCCGATGAAGATGAAGGGTTTGCAGTTGGGATGAAGGATCCAATGGGGATGAAAGATCCAGAGAGAATGAAGAGTTCACAAGGGAATGGAGGATCTAGTGAGAACAGGGATCTAATAGGAATAGGGAGGGATTCACAGCTGAAGGATTTAGAGAAGGCTGGTGGTCCACCGCGAGAGTAAGGATCCAGTGAGGATGAAGGATGGGGAGATAGGAAGGAGAATGAAGGACTCACAGTTGAGATGAATGATACAACGAGGATGAAGGATCCAGGAAAGATGAAGAATTAATGGCTGGGATAAAGGAGATGGTGCAGATGGAGGATCCAGAGGGGATGAAGAATTTTGAAGCTAGGACGAAGGATTCAAAGGGAATGAAAGATCCAGGAGCCAATAAGGATGAAGGAGCCAGTAGACATGAAGGGTCCAAGCACACGTCCAACAGAAAAGGTATTTGGTTCCTTTATAGAACCACAAGACTGGTCTACGTTGGCAGCCCTGGTCCCTACTTGCACCCACACCTGCACCCCCAAATTAAGCACAAGCTTGCCTTATCTTCAGAGTGTTAGCAGGGTTACACCAGCTGTGTTTCAGACTTTAGGATTAGTGAAGAAACTTGCTTCTGTTTCAGAAGTGCTGGAATTCTAGGCATACTGAGAACTCATGTGAGTAGAGTTGAACTTTGAGGAAATCCTTATTAATCTTTCCAAGAAGCGTTCCTTAATATCACCGAGCCAGTCTTGGCATGGTGATTCAATCTAATGCACCATTTTTAATGTTTAAACCTGTAACACAAGCCACAATCATCCCCCTACACACGGGCAGCTACAGGCCCTCTGAACTCCCCAATAAGTTACTTTGTTCTCTCGTTTATTATATACTCATAGGACAATCACTAAGACCTGCTCTTGCCAGGCCCTGCATTGGGCCCTGAAGTCTTGTCCCCTGCCCTGTCTGCTGTCCTATACCTTGCCTGGCTCTGTATCTCATAGTTCTCCTAGGAAGGCTGTGTTTTATGAATCCTTTTGTTATTCTATGGGAATGCATGCTTTGGGCTGTGCTGTGGCCACAGAAAACAGCCACAGCCTGGCCCTGGCACCTACGTGTTGCATTATGTCTCCTCGTTTGGGGGCCTCAACACGTGGACCCTACGTCTCTCTCCTGCCTTGGCCCACAGAAGGTACCACCACTGACCTCTGGGTAAGCAATGCCAGCAGCCCTCACCAGTGCATAGGGATGGCCTTTTGAGGGTGTGTCACCTGGGTTTTTCTAAGACCAAAGGGCTGTGGGTGGTTTCCTGACCCGTTCTGAACCTGCACCCACCCCACCCCCTGAAAATCAGGACCCAGCAAACGAGAGAGTGCAGGGTGTCCTGTGGCTCGAAGAGATTATTCCTTACACATGAAAAGGAAAGGAGAGTGAAGCCCACAGAGCTGAATTAGAGCCACAAACATTAGTATAAAAGCACATTGCCTGCACCCGCATGTGTGTCACATGAGCATGCGTGTCTCGTGAGCAGACTGAGAGGCAGAGAGGAAATCACACCAGCCTGCACCCGGGAGCTGTGGTCTGGGAGGGAAAGGCTCGGACACGCAGAAGAGTTCACTATTCAGAACCCCGTCACGGCCGTCTCCTAAAACGTGGAAGCATTAGCTCCCTCTTGTACTCAAGACAACTGTACAGGCCTAGGGTGTGGTCATGACTTTCTGGCATTGATCAATAAGAGCTCAGGCCCAGATCGTTTGGCCACTGACTTGGCAAAAACCCTCCTTCCTGTTCTGACTGGAATGACTCATAGTGGTGGTCTGCCATCTCAGGGATGATAACTCATTTGAGTGTGCGTGCGTGTGTGTGTGTGTGTGTGTGTGTGTGTAGAGAGAGAGAGAGAGAGAGAGAGAGAGAGAGAGAGAGAGAGAGAGAGAGAGAGATTCTGAAGTTTCTCTAACCCCTGTCCAGAGAGCTGTGTACCCTAAATACCCCAACTGGCCATATCACTGACCTGGTCAGGCAGGATGATCAGGGCTGAGCTCCCCTCAAAGAATCATGTGATCTGAGCCAGGGCAGTAGCTCACCCACTACACCCTTCTCAGAGCCTTGCGAGAATCGTGGGACTCTAATCCTAGGACCCTAGAGAAGACATGAACCAATTAGGGCTCGATGAGTACCAGCAAGGTTGATCAGCAGGCCTCAGCTCTGGTCCCACGGTCACAACCTTCTCCTCATGACAAACATAGGAGTCACAGGACTCCACAGAGGAGTGATTTGGCTCAAGAACTGCCTGTCTGTCTGGACCATTTCTGCTCCCGAGTTAGTCCCCATCCCTTGTGCCCCTGTAGCTCCTTGGCCCCTAACTTTCCCAAACATGTCCTGAGCATCTAGTCTAGCTTGAAACCTGCATCTTCAGGAGCTGTTGTAAAGCCTCACCTTTCTATTGGGCAGCATCGTTTTTAAAATTCAAGTCCTGTGAGTTCCTTTTACCTCTACAAGGAGAACTCTGTCCCGGTGGCATGCTGCCTATGCTCACCTTAGAACTGGAGTAGTTCTGTCTGGGACTGGAGGCCTCTGCCATCTACATTTCTTCACAGGCTGATGAAGAGATTTACTTTAAGGTGTGTGTCTAATGAGAGGTGACACAGAAGCCTGGAAGGAGCAGGACCTGCATGTGGAGTTTGCTAGCCCAGGAGCAGTCCTGGAAATCTCCCAGAGCAGCCACCTCTCTGCAGAAGCAAGGACCTGGGGTCTTACCACCGCCTAGACCCTGGCTCTGTCTCCTGGGCCAGGGTTACGATCAGGGGCAGACAGCCCTCAGCTGGCCCTGCTGGTCTATTATTCGTACAAAGGCTGGACGTGCTGGGCCAGGGCCCAGCTTTCCCTGGCTTCTGGCCTGAGTACATTTTTTAAGAGGGTGGGGAATTTCTAGCCCAGATGCGTTTGGAAGGGTTCCGGGATGGGAGAGTTAGGCACTGCTCTTCAGATAACTATTTTGTCTGAAATTCTCTCCCCCAGACTCAATTATAAGCTACAGAGCCCTGTAAATTAATTTTGTACACTCTAAGAATAGAATAGCACACATTGTGATGAGATTGTTTAGACAACAACAAGATAATTATGGCCTTTGTTAACTTTCCAATAGAGGCTAGAGTAGTTGACCATTTGGCAAAAGCCACACAGCGGAGCCAATGGGGACAGGGAACACAGGAATCTGGGACACTGTGACCTTGGAGATTTTCATGACTGTCTAGTATTCTACTGTTCTAGGTTAGGGAGAAGACAGAGTAGGTTTGTTGGAGGTCAAAGCTACAGGCATTCTCCCTGTCAAATCTGCAGAACGGAGTGTGTCCCCTGCCCCAGCATCGCTCACGTCACTTACTTGTATGCCCGGCTGTGTCACACAGGGCCTTCCTCTGACTGGGAAGCCTGACAATTGGTACTTGGAGGCGTGTTTGAAAGTCCCCGAGCTGTCGAGTACATACGAGGGCTCAAAAGCTGGAGAGAAATAGGGAATTCTTTGTTTAGATAAAAAGAGAGGAAAAAATAGAACAAGTCAGCAGAAAGGGCTGAAGCTGCCAGATCCCAGGGCCTGCGGAACAGCCAGACAGCCCATGCAGCTGCCTCCCCCAGCACCTCCGCACCCCCATGGGGCCACATGGGGGGGACACTGGGTGGAGACTCCTCATCCCACCAGTTCATGGTGTGGTCTGTCTTGGCTTCTCGGTTTTCTAATTTTACAACGGGAAGACTTTACACGGTGGGAAGACCAGCCGAGGCCTATCCTGGGCCTGCGGACGACCTTCCCAGGAGGGACCTGAGACTGACCAGAGCTCAGAAACCCATCCCTGAGAAGTTAAGGGTTACGGCAGCACTTGCTCAGGTTTCTGGCGCCCACAGCCTACCAAGTTTTCCAGCCCTAGATGTCTGCTGGGAAATGCAGCTGGGAGCCAGGTGACATGGCTATGTGGGTTTGTTTTTGGTGTTACCAGAGAAACAAGAGGGGAACATAAGAAATGAAGTTTCCACAAAATATCCAAACTGACTTCAAAAGTGTCTGCGTGCCTGGCGAGGGAGGGAACGCTGGCTCCGGTCTGCTTGGCACACGCCACCCACCTGGAAACGCCCACTACGCTCTCCATGCCGGAGACGGGAAAGCCAGGAGGTTTTTCCATGTGGGAATGGGCTGCCTGTATCTCAGAGCCAGGAGCTGTGCCGCCTCTGAGGCCACGCCCAGCCCAGATTGGGGACACATTGCACTAACTGTCAGCATTAGATGAGGAGGAGATTAAACAAAACCAACCACAGAGGACAGTACCTTAGTCAGGGTTATAAATAGGAGGGAGGGGTCCTTACTAACCCATTAAACATCGGGGGTGAGGGACCGGAAGGGAGGAGTCTGTGAATTTAAAGACAAGGCGTAGGGCCAGACATCAATGCCAACTGGGGCTCTAGTCCTTTCCACGGACTCTAACACTGGCCCTTTTGCAAAGCCAGGCACTTTTGGAGCATTCTCCCTGGCAGAGTAGGGTCAGGCTAGTCTGTGTAACCAGGTTCTGGAAATGGCAGTCTACACCGGGGACAGGAACGGGGATAGGAAGGGCCAGAAGTGGGCTCGGTCCTGCTGCCATCTGGTTACCCTGGGCAATTGCTCAGCTCTTGACCATTGGGTTACTAAGTATCTGCTGCTGCTGTGACAAAATACGGAGGAAAATTCATGGAAAGGAAAAGGAAGACAGGCTTTTTTTTTTTTTTTTTGGCTCACGGTGTCATTGGTTTTGGTCCCTGGTTTTACTGCTGTGATCCTCAGGCAAACTCATCATTATGGTGGGGAAAGTGTGGCATAGCAAAGCTTCCAGGAAGGACAAAGCCAGCTTTCGTTTGTTTGGTTTTTTTGTTTTTTTGTTTTCGAGACACAGGTTCTCTGTGTAGTCCTGGCTGTCCTGGAGTTCACTCTGTAGACCAGGCTGGCCTCGAACTCACAGAGATCCGTCTGCCTCTGCCTCCCGAGTGCTAGGATATAAGCGTGTGCCACCAATGCTGGCTCAAAGCCAACTTTTATGACAATGTCCTTCTCCGTGTGCCCATTTGACTGTGAGTGAATGAAATAAGCGAGTGAGTGTGTGCTGTTTAACGTGGGCACAGCCGTGTCAACGACCAGACCCATGGCAGTAGCAAAGCTTCCCTGCATGAGGCTCAGCGGGATGGAAAAGCCTTCCTATTGTCTGCGTGTGGGTGCTAATAGTGTGCGAAGAAATGTTCACCATAGCTTTGTGTCCATGGGATGTCTACTGTCTGAAGACTGCTCCTACTCTGAGATTAACTAAACCTACCTCCCTGTTCATCTGCATGCAACGGCCCTGCCTCCCTGTTCACCTGTATGCAATGCCCCCCCTTCCCCGTTCATCTGTATGCAACAGCCCCGCCTCCCGGTTCATCTGCATGCAACGGCCCCGCCTCCCTGTTCATCTGTATGCAACGGCCCCGCCTCCCCATTCATCTGTATGCAACGGCCCCGCCTCCCTGTTCAACTACATAAAATAAGCACACCGAACTTTTCTGTTGCTGTGGCTTCTCCACCTTAGAGCCCAGGCGACCTGATCCCAGCTTTTCCACCTGTGGATCCACACTGTATCTTATGTGGCTCCAGGGACTGACCTAACTGGAGGGGTGCGATAATAAGGAAATGACAAGCGCACGTTGAGCAGGGAGGAGGGGATGTCTCTGGACTCACCTGTGTCGGATAAACCAGCAAGTGGAGTCATGTGACCTGTAGCTTTCGGTGTCTGGCTTTACTACAAGTTATAGCTCTCTGGTTCACTCCTGCAATAGTGTATTTAGCTGCTTCTTCCTTTTCATGGCTAAATAGAATTCCATGCAGGCAGTCAGGCCTACCTTTTGCCTCCGTGAGTGATGCTGTTGTGGCCAGTCTTTCTTTTGAGAGTAACTGAAAATTGATGTGAGCACAGGCAGCAGAGGCAGGCATAAACTGCTTCTCAGAGCACTGATTGGACAGTCTCCAGGCAAGATGACAGGATGCTCGTGACCCAGGGGCCCAACATCCAGCTAGTAGACCCAGGCTCCCTCTCCCCCCCGCTCCCTCAAGCCATGTGCTTTCCATGTCACGGAGCTGCTTCCTGCAGGTACAGATGCCCTGGGCAGTCATTAGGCTTGCTGCTCTCAGTGAGGGGCTTCTGATCCTCTCTGGGCAAAATGCCAACCTCTTCCTGAGTACAGTGGGGTCCAGGGCCCCTGGGGCTGCAGGCTGAGCCCTCAGGTGCAGGCAGAGCTGCCTCAGTCTCCTACATGTGGGCATTACCAGTTGGCACCACGTGCCCGCTCAGTGTCCAGGCCTTAACTTGGTGCCGTTTGCAAAGGTCTACATGTTTGTCAAACTCACCAACTTAAAATATTGGTGTAATTTAAGGATGCAATGCATTTATTTATATTTTATATTTTAAAATGATCAGTCGAGGACTCTTAATTTTGTCAAGGTTGAGAAGCCAATTCCCTGAAAGACAGTAAATACAACTAAAAATAATGAATTTTTAAAAAGTTTTAAATGCATTTGCTGACTAGAAATTACAAACCCAGATAAAGTGAAGGTGAAACCACTTACCAAAGCCTGAATTTCCACAAGGATACCTGAAGAAAGTTGATGACTTTTTCTGAAAAAGTTCAAAAGGGTATGTCTTAGTTGGGGTCTCTGTTGGTGTGGGGAAACAACATGGCCATGGGGAGGAGAGAGTCTATTACTTACAGCTTCATAGTGAAGTGTATCGCTGAGGAATCAGGGCAAGAACCAAGAAGCTGGAGGCAGGAGCTGATGTGGCGGCCGTGGATGCGTGCTGCTTACTGGCTTGCTCCTCCCCGCTGTCTCAGTTTGTTTTGTTTTACACCCCAGGACTACCTGCCCAGGAGTGTCATGACCCACAATGGGCTGGACCCTCCCACAGCAATCACTAATTAAGAAAATTTCCCAATAGAACAATGTGAGGTGCACTCTCACCCTGAACTCTTGGGAAAGGGTCTAGGCCCTGCCCTATATGAAATGACATACTATGGACACCCCCATGGAGGGCCTCACCCTCCCTGGAGAAATGAGGGGATAACAGGGGGGGGCACGGGAGGAAGGGAGGGAATGGGAGAGGGACCTGGAACTGACTTGTGAAGCAACCTTGATTCTTATCTAAATTTAAACTGGAAAATAAAACTAAAAAAAATAAAATAAAATAAAATAAAGAAAATTTCCTATAGACTTGCATACCGTCAATCTTATGGAGGCATTTTCTCAATTAAGACTTCTTCTCCGAGATAAGTTTGCATCAGGTTGACAAAAAAAAACCTCAAGATAGCATTAATATCACAATATAAACATAAATAACTTTAGAAGTCCCACACACTTTAAAAATTCAGTGTTTTTACAATATCCAAAGTCTCTTTAGAATTGGAGTCTCTCTAAAATTCCAAACTCTCTCAACTGTGGGCTTCTGTAACAGAATCATATAAGTTACACACTTTCTAGCTCTCAAAGGGAAGCATCAGAGACCAGTGACCATCTGAACAAGGCAAACTCCAACACTGTGAAACAGCTCAGTGTCCAGCGTCTGGGGCTCAGGGTCTTCTAGATGCAAAGGGCTTGCCACGGCTTACTTAGTGTCTCCTACGCTCAGGCTCGCTCTGCTCGGTGGCTTCAGCTGTGATTGTCCCATGATACTGGTATTGCCAAAACATGGGTTCTTTATCTGCAGCTGGGCTGCACCTTCCACCCCACAGCCTCTCCTAAGCTTCCTTCGGGGACTCTGGTCCTGCCGCATGATGACAAGACTCAGCCTTTCTCTGTCCTTCAGTCCTGGGGCTTTGACTGCAGCACAGGCTGCACTGACATTCATGGCATCTTCCGACCTCTCTTCAGGGACTCCAGACCTGCCACACACTGCCAAGCCTCTGCTGCTCTCCATGCCCACTTCATGCCTCCTAAAACCAGCACCACCTGGCTGACTCTTACACACTACCGAGTTCAGCTGCCAGCGTAAGGTAGAGCTGTGGCCACTTCCGGACCACAGCCTCTGTGTGCTGACCCCTAAACGAACTTCCTAGAAGATGGTGCCTCACTGATGCTGGTTCCCCATCCCCAGCTGACCAGCACCCACAAATCCTTAATTCAAAATATCGAACCACCCCAATAGAGTCTTTGAGGGATTCTCCAAGCTTTTCTCTGGTACTTCACAGGCCAGACCCCAACCATCTGCACTTCTCTGGTATTCTTCTCTTCCAAGATGCCAGTATTACTTCCTTCCTTCCTTCCTTCCTCCCTCCCTCCCTCCATTCCTTCCTTCCCTCCTTTCATATTTTTTCAAGACAGAGTTTCTCTGTGCAGCCCTGGCTGTCCTGGAACTCACTCAGTAGACCAAGCTACACTCGAAATCACAGAGATCCACCTGTCTCCACCTCCCAAGTGCTAGAATTAAAGAAATGAGCCACCCCTGCACAGGCTCAGTGTTATCTTCTAAGTTCCCACAACAAGTCATTAAACTCTGAGCACCCAATGGCTTCTCTGGCACAAAGTTCCAGAGTTCTTCCCATAATCCTTCCCAAAACACCATCGGGTCTGTCCCAGCAATGACCCACAACTAGGTACCAATTTATGTCTAGGTTGGGGTTTCTATTGTTGTGATAAAACACCATAACCAAAAAGCAACTTGGTGAGGAAAAGGTTTGTTTCATCTTACACCTTGATAAGCCAGCATTCAAGAAAGTAAGAGCAGGAACCAAAGCAGATGCCACGCAAGTCCTGCTTCCTGGCTGGCTCAGCCTACTTTCCTACAGCACCCAGGATCACAGCCCAAGGGTGGCACCACCCATGGTGACCTGACCTGGGCCTTCCCCATCAATCATCAATCAAATAAAAGCACCACAGGCCAACACGGTGGAGATATTTTCTCAACTGAGGCTCCCTCTTCCAAAATGACTCTGGCCCATATCAAGTTGACATAAACCTAACCAATTTAGGGTAATTCAAATTAAAACTGCAAGTGGAGGATACCGTCGTTAACTCTCCACAGACACCACCATCAACCTGCAGAATACCAAACACAGATGACTCACCAAGAATGAATGGCACCTGCCTGATTGATCACCCCAAACCAGAAGGCCCAAGGCAAAAGATTAACTCCTAGTGTGTTTATTAACCAGTCAGATCCCTTCAGCCAAAGGATCTCTTTTGGAGAATGATATTCTAGACCAGTGGTTCTCAACCTTAATAATGCTGTGACACTTTGATACAGTTCCTCGTGTGTGGTGACCCCCAACCATAAAATTATTTTGCTGCTACTTCATAACTGTAATTTTACCACTGTTAGGAATCATAATATAAGTATCCAATATTCGACCCCCAAAGGGGTCAGACCCACAGGTTGAGAACCGCTGGTGTAGACAAGCCCTGCAACTTGGCCATCAGCACAGCTTCTGCACGGATTCCTGCACAGAGACAAGCAGGAGCCACATGGGACTTAGAGGGAAGAGGGAATGGAGGAAACAATGCCAGGGACGTGTGGGTGAGCCAATGCTGCAATCAGCGAGACAAACCGCATGGGTAATGCCTACTCTGTAGAGAAGGAGTAAAGTCTGTGACTCCGTGACACAGGCTGTTGCCTGGCCTTCAGTTTCCGGTCCATATTCTATGCAGTCTTTCTGCATCTGGTCCCTTCCACAGCACCCTTCCTCCCACGCTCTGGGTCCAGGCAGCTCAAAAAGAAAAGAAATGGACCTGCGTCAACTTCCCTGATTTTAAGTGTTAGGACTAGAATAGAATGTCCTTAGGTATGGAAGATTCTAGAAAGACCTGTCACAGACTGAGCCTGAAATGGCAACTTTTGGAGGTGACCTAGGGAGACCATGGGAGAAGTGGCCTCAGAGATGAGCAGAGCCTAGGCCCTAACAGTGCGGAGCATCCCCTGAACCCCTCCCCGAAGGGCCCCAGAAGCAGTACTAAAGTGATTCTGGGAAGCTGAGGATTTGCCTAGACAGAGACCCTAATATCTTCATGCCTGGGTGGCAAGCCCTCCTGGGTGCTCTGGGGACAGCTGGAAGGATACTCGGGATGCAGATCAAGCCACCCTTGGTCCAAAGATGGAGGCATAACTACCACTAACTGAGTCATGGGGACATGAGGAAGAACATTCCCTTCCACCACGGAGAGCAGAACAGAGAAGGCCCTGGGGGATAGAGAAGGCTCCCCCAGGACTCATAATCTCATGCTCACCACGGTGGGGGCAGTCACCAAGACGCCAGCTCATCACAAGTCCCCAAGATTCAGGCAGATCCCAAATGTGGGGTCAGAACCAGGAGGCCCTTGGCTCTGGGAACAACAGCCACACCACAGCCCGTCGGAGTCCCGGACTCTCCGTGGTACTATGTGGATTGGGGGTCTTAGGAGTAGGTAAAGCTCGCTCTAAGCACACTCTTGCATACTATGAGGCTCCTACATGACATTTTCTGTGCTGGCTGGACACATAATTGGAAACAGCCTGAGTGTGTGTGTGACTCAGGGAAAGCCAGCTCCGCCCCACCCGCTCACACAGCACATCCTGTTCCCTCCTTGAGGATTTCTAAGAAGGGGGTTAGCTTCCTGTGAGCCCCCAGCTCCACCTGGCTGACATGTGTGTTGGCTGAACAGCTGATCTCATCTAGCTGCTGCGTTCTAGAAAGTTGTTTCCCACACACATCCAGTCCAATTCTGGGACGACTCGTCCAAGTCAAAAGCACCTGGATACATTTAAATGCACATTTATATATGCGTATACACACACACAAATGTATATATGTATATATACATGAGAATATGCGTAAATATGTGTGCCCATGATTGCATATATGTGCATGCATGCAAGCCTATATGTACACATACTCATACATGTATCAGAATGCAGCTATGTGTGTAGTGTGTGGGTATGTGCACGACATACACATGTGCTCATGGGTATATGCATGGACATGTATGTGTATTTCATATGCAATATATGTACATGCGTGTGCATGTACATGCCCACACAGGCATAGCTTTTCATTTGTGTGCAACAACACATACACATTTGTGCCAACATGTGCCCCACTTACATGTGTATGTATACATGTGTGCAGAGGTGTATGTACATGCATATGCACACATACAAAATACATCTACACATGCATATCCACACACATAGGATGTTTCCTGTAACTATTCATGGCTGCCCTGGACACAGGATCCCAGAACCCTACACATGACCATTCAGGGACCCCAACATCTTGTCCCAGGTGGGAGATTTGGGGAAAACACAGCAGGTGCAGATATTCCGCATCACTCCCATTGCAAAGCACCCCCTACTTCAGCAGTGAGGATGTCTTTACCCCGGAGATTAGTGTCGTCAAACAATCCTGCTGAACCTGGTCTAGCTAAAGCCATCAGCGCCGGTGGTTAGGGTGTGTCTGCTGTTCCAACCCTGGGAGGGTCCTATTCACACTGCACCCTGCAGAATGTCTGGGAAGGGGGTCCTCTCTGATCTCCTGCTGTGGCTGACCCCATGCTGCTCACTGGGATGTATATGAGGAACACCACCAGTGTTGAGCTGGGCAACCTGCAGCACCCTGTCCCTATCCTGTCTGCACCTGGATGTTGGTGCAGACATTGCCCCGCCTACATGGCATCCAGCTTCCTAGCTCAGAATCACCAGGGCTTCGCCTCTTGCCTGAGAAGCCCAGGCAGCAGCATCAGGGAGAGCTGACCTGCGAGCCCTAGGGCACATCCAGCAAGGTCTTAAAATAGTAACTGGCCCACACAGTAGTGGCCAGGAGGCTGCTTGGGGAGGAAAGGGAGTTGTGGGAGCTGGAGAGGACTAGAGGACCTGGTGGGGGCCTTGGGTGACAAGTGCTCTAGCTGTAGAACATAGCCACAGAGAATACTGCAGCAACTTCACTCCTCTGCCACTGTCCCCTGCCCAGGGTCCCAGGCTGTGTTTGCTGGGGGGCTGTTCACAGACTTAGAGGCTTCTCAAGCTCACTCCCAGCTATGGGGCTACATCTCTGGCTGGGGCCCAACTCCACCCCATCCACATGGCCCTGGCATTATCTTAGCATCCGAAGACCTCAACCTCATATTGGTCCTCCTGGTGTGTCAGACATCCCCACCATAGGTGCTGTGGGGTTCCTGTGGCAATGGCAAGGCTCCTTATCTCAAGACCTTTGTTCCATGCAGCAAGACATGGGGACAGAGGAGAGCTGGGAGCTGCACGGTGCAGAGGCTAAGTAGACTCCGTTGCTATAGGAGGAAATTGGATGCTGGCCCAGGGCAGACCATGAGACAGTGTGAGTCAACGGAAACCAGAGAACCCTGCAGACTGCTTAGGAAAAGTGCTAGTAATCCCTGACAACCCATGGGGCTGGACACTCGGGATGCCTGTGCAGTTTCTCTGTCTCTACCATGATCCAAACTCTACTCCCTCTGAGCTCAGACACAGAAGTCTGCTGTGGAGAAAAACCTGTGTTTAAGCGTCTCTACGGTTACTCACTAGAAGCCCAGAGTCCTTCCTGAAATGTGTGCCATGACTCATGTACCTGGACCCGTCACCTCTGGAACATTCTGTCTGGGTAATAAAACTGTGCCATTTATGAGATCTCGGGAGCCAGCTGAGTTGCTAGATGCCCATAGTAGGGTAAGGGCTGGATTGAAGAGTTCCCCCAGCTCTGCAGAACCCCCATACACAGGCTAAGGAATGAACAGTAGACTTCGAGTGAGAGGAGGACAGTCTCTTCTCTTTTGGGGTCTCACTCAGGGTCCCAAGTAGCAAGGGGGGCAAGATAGAAGCAGTTTATTATCAGCCACAGCAGGGAGTCAGAGGAGATAAGAACCCCTGTTTAGAACATTTTGAAGAGTCCAGTGTGTATACACACACACAAACACACACACAAGCGTGCATGCATGCACACGCACATGCATGCGTGCACACTAGGATTGGAAGAGCATCCCAACCTCAAGGGCTGATAGTTTTAGCTGGACCAGCTTTGTCAGAACTGATTAATAGCAGTAATCCTGCAGCCTGAGACACCGTCACATGCACAGGCTTCTGAGACAGGTCACACAGAATTGCCGATAGCTGTGAACACCTCCACCCCATGGACACACATAACAAGTCCATCTCACAGGTAAGAGAGTACTGGGGCACA